AACCGTGTTCTAGAACATGAAGAGAAAAAAGAGATAATTTAAGAGAAAATTAAAATTCTGTTTTTCTTTATATTTTACTGTTCTATTTAATTGTTTTTAAACACGAATGTTTGCCAAAATAGTTTATAAAGCAAATGGATAAAAAATATTTGTATAAATAATGACTTAACACTGTTTTGTTCTTGATTTAAATAAGCAAAGAGAAATTCGACTGAAAACAGATATTTCTTCTTGAGCACCCCTGCTGTAAAGAGAAAATCAGTAGCCCCCCCAATAAAAGCTACACACAATAAAAACAGAAGCTGCTACTCTTCTTAACAGCAAGAAAATAATGAGACTCCGTTAGTGTCGCCGCAGCAGCATTGCCGCTGCTGCTGAGGGAGGTCTGCTGTAGATAAAGATAAAGCACAATTGCGACGTTTGTCGTTCGACAGTCGTTTGTCGTAAATTCATAAAAAGTATCAACGGGGGGACTACTTAAGACTTTTTCCAAATGAATGGAGATTGTTGTAAATGGTGATAAATGTTTAGGACCAGTAATTAATGTTGGGGAAATTTGTAAGGTAGCTTTATTTACTTAATTTTGAAAATTGATTTTATTTTTTAATTTATTATCCCCACAATGTGGATCAATGGTATTGAAATGGAAAATTTTTATTTGGTTACATAGATAATTTAGTTTGATTCTGGAAATGTTTAGGAGAAGGTAGCTTTTCTGTCAAGATATCATGGATAAAATATATAAATTACCACATATTTATATATACTATTCTGAATAGTGTATCTGGTATATCATCATCAAAAAAGTGTGGATATTGCATCTTGGTCAATTAGTGTAGATATTGTATCTACGATATCAAAGAAGCATAAATTCTGTATCGAGATATTCAAATCGTATAGATATTGTATCTACACCATCCAAGAATTATGGATATTGTATCTACGATTTTCAAGAAGCCGGAATATTGTATCTAAATATTTAAATAGTATAGATATTGTATCTACGTCATCCAAAAAGTATGGATATTGTATCCATGATATGCAAAAAGAGTAGTTTTTGTATCTATGCCATACAGGAGGTTTACATATTGGTATTATTGCTATTAAGAAAGTGTGGATATTGTGTCTATGCTATCCAGGAAGCGTGGATATTGTATCTATACCGATGATACTGTTTCCATGCTAAACAGGAACCGTGAATATTGTATCTATAGCCTAGATATTGTATCTATAGCCTAGATATTGTATCTATAGCGATGATATGCTATCCAAGAAGCGTGAATATTGTATCTATAATTTAGATATTGTATCTATGCTATCGAGGAAGCGTGGATATTGTATTGTTACGAATATAACTTTAGATTTAAGTTAATTTAGATGAATTCCGTTAATGTAAGAATTTGAATTGTAACGTAAATTTCTACTACGCAGTTTATTTGAATATCTTCACAACAACAACTACTGTATAGATTTTTCTACATCCTTCCATTTCCTCTTTCATTTTCTATTTTGTTGCTGACGTACAATTCTTGTTAAACGTCATCATTGATGATCGCTTAATTCCTCTTTCTTTGTTACCCTCTCGCCTGTGTATGTGTTGTTGTTATTGTTCACTCAATGTAAGTTTGTATGTGTTGTTGTTATTGTTCACTCAATGTAAGTTTGTATGTGCTCGTTGCATTGGTAGATTGTTAGTAATCTAGGCGTTACCAGATCGTCTAGAAACTTCTGTAGCGACAGGCGAGGCTCATATAAATAGGGGAAATGGAAAGGCAGTTAGTCAGTTGTGAATCAGATCGCGAATTGAAACCGTCGAGTAAAGTAAAGTGCAATAAAATCATTGTAATAATCGTAATCCGAAAGAACCCGCGTTTTATTTGGTACGAGCTGTATTGGGAAATAAAACAACGTCTACACGGGATTAAGTAAAATCCAAGAACGTAACAGTATCTATCACATGGATATTGTATCTACACTATCTAGGAAGCATGTATATTGTATCTATAACGTAGATATTGTATCTATGATATGCAGGAAACGAAAATATTGTATCTACGCTATCAAGAAAGCATATGTATTGTATCTATATTATCCAGGAAGCATGTATATTGTATTGATGTTATTGTATCTATGATGTCCATACATATCTTCATGTTTGGATAAAAGAAATACATTATCTGTAAGATTTAGGGCTTTAGATACATTAATCTTCATTACAGATAATGTATTTCTTTTATCAAAAGACAAAGATAAATACACTATCTTATCCAAAGGGTGCAGTTACTATCCAAATTACTTGGATAAAATGCAAATGCTAACCAAGTGATGGGGATATTGTATCTTTTTAATTAAATGACACGAAAAATGTCTCTATGTTTTCCAAATGTCTTACATAATTTATCAATGTGGATAATGTATCTTTCAAAATGTTACCAAAAAATGTATCTACGTTATCCAAATGTCTCGGATAAATTATCTATGTTTGTTAAATGGTTTGGATACAGCTTCAGTGGTACAAAATGTCTGGAATAATGCATCCACTGCACCTAACTGTCTCAGATAATGAATTTCTGTTTTCCAAATGACTTAGATGCATAAACTATGTTATCCGAAGTTCTCGGATATTCTCCAAATTAATTGGATAACGTATACATGATAGCCAAATGATGCGGATAATGTATCTTTCTTATCTAAATGACACAAAAATGTATATATACCATTCAAATGTTTTAGGACATTTATCTGTGTTATCTTCAATTATCTATGCTGGCTAAGTCTTATCCAAATATTGTGGATAATGTATCTTTCTTATCAAAATGTTACCAAAAATATATCTACGCTATCCAAATGTTTCGGATAAATTATCTATGTTATCTAAAGGGTTAAGATACAGCTTCAGTGGTACAAAATGTCGAAAATAATGTATCTATGATTTCGAAATAATACAGATAAAATATCTCTGCCACAAAAATGTTACTAATTATGTATCTATCTCAAATATCTAGCTCAAATATAGTATCTATGCTATCCGAATATTATGGACAATGTATTTATGTCATCTACATGATGCAGATAATGTATCTCTCATCCGAATGACTTAGATAAATAAACTATGTTATCCACAGGTCATGGTATTGTAGTCATGTAATCCACATTTTTCCGATATCGTGTAAATACTAACCAAATGATGCAGATTATTTATCTTTTTACCAAACCCACACGAAAAATATATCCAAATGTCTGGGATAATTTATCTATGTTATCTAAATGGTTTGAATACAGCTTCAGTGGCACAAAATACGGACAATGTTCTATTTTTATTTTCCAAATTATTTAAAATAATGTATAAATGCTACCAAATTATGCGGATAATGCATCTTTCTTATCTAAGTGGTACGTACAATGTATCTATGTTATCCAAATTTCTCAGATAATTTATATCTATGCTACTGAAAAATGGTTTGGATAAAGCTTCAGGGTCGCACGGATAAAGTATTTATGTCAATTAAATGTTGCGGATATTGTATCTATGTTTTCTAAGTGGCCTGGATAATGTATATATGCATCCAATACTCACGGATAATGTATGTATGTCATCTATAAGTTACGGATAATGTATCTTATTTATCCCAATTACTTCTAAAGGGCATCTTTGTTGTCCTAATGCCACGAATGAGGTATATTTCTTATCTTAAACGGGTTTTGGTATGTATCTATGTAACCAAATACCATGGATAATGTATCTGCGTTATCGAAATTGTTTAGATAAATTATCTATGGTATCAAAAAGTCTCGGATAATGTATCTATGGTATACAAATGTCACTTTAAATTTATCTATGTTATCCAAACAACCTAAATTATATCCAAAGTAATTAGAAAAACTTATCCATGTTATCCAACTGTTTCGAATATTGTATCTTTGTTATCCTAGCTCTACGGATAATTTATCTATTTTATTCAAATATCCAAGAAAAGTAATTGATGAGGCATAATATGTACCTACCTTATCCCAATGGCCTTTTTAAACCCTCCACCTTGGAAGGGTATATTAACTATGTCATTCCGTTTGTAACATGTCTCGTAGACCCCATAATGTATATATATTCATAATCAGCATATAATTCTAAGTCGATTTAACTATGTCCGTCTGTTTGTCTGTTGAAATCACGATACAGCCCACAGTATTTGACGTAGAGCACCAAAATTTAGCAGAGAAATTTGTATTGTGTCTAGGATGGTAGGTATTGAAAATGACGTATATCGGTCCACGTTTTGGTATAGTCTCCATATAACGGTACCTCCCGATATTCGGTATTTTGATGATTTATGCCACATTTTTTCATGGAATTTTCTGAAAATTGGTATTTGTAGGTCATAACGGATCCCTGTGCGTGTGGCAAAACATTGCATGTATAGGTCCACGTTTTGGTATAGCCCCCATATAACGGTACCTCCCGATATTCGGTATTTTAATGACTTTTGCTACATTTTTTCACGGATTTGTCTATAATTTGTTATTTGTAGTTCGCAATAGGTTCTAGCTTCGGTGGCGGAACATAGTACATATAGGTCCACGTTTTGGTATAGCCCCCATATAACGGTACCTCCCGATATTAGGTATTTTGATGACTTTTGCTACATTTCTTCACGGATTTGTCTGAGAATTGGTATTTGTAGGTCAGCTCCTTGGGCGAAACATTGCATGTGTAGGTCCACGATTTGGTATAGCCCCCATATAACGGTACCTCCCGATATTCGGCATTTTAATGGTTTTTCTACATTTCTTCCAATGTTTCCTTTACTCTAAGGTGGAGGGTATTCAAAGTTTGGCCCGGCCGAACTTAATGTTTTTTTGCTTGTTAAAAAAAAAACACTTTTGATCTATTTTTTTTTTAAATATTTTATTTTAATATTTAATAAGTAATAATAAATCGTATGTGTTTATCATACGTTCTTACTTAAAAGGTTGACTTAAATAATTGACACATAGGTTGCATATTCTTTTGTTTTTTTTTATTACTTTTAGAGCTTGTTTATTGTTTTGTTGTTTATCTTCTTAAGTGTTGTTCTGCCTTGGTTGTTGGGTGTGTGTGATTTTCTTTTTTTTTTGTCGATTCTAGTATTTATTGTCTCTCACACAATGGGAATAATCAATAAAAAATACATTAGATTAATAATAATAAAAATAAAATTCTACATACACATACATTTGTCATATGTATTTTTAAATGGTATTTATGTTTTGTTTGTTTTATTTTTAGTTTTTTTATGTATACTTAAAGCTAAGTGTTGTCGTTCCGGTGTTTATTGAAAGTTTTTTTGTTTTTATTTTTCATTTTTTTTTTGTTTAGAAGTTTATGTTTTCAAAAATGGCTTTTTCTTGTTAATTTTCGTTTTTTTTTTTTTTTTTTTTTTTTTGTTTTTGGGAGGGAAGATTTGTTTTCAAATAAACAAAACTACAAATGACTTCTAAGAAATTCCGGACAAAAAAAAAAAAAGTTGGGGGACCTTAAGATTTCTCGTGGTGTTGGCCTTGTTGAATTTTGATGCCGATTATTGTTGTTCGTGTGGCTGGAGGTTTAGAGTTTCTGTACAATTTCATATTTCTTCTTCAGATCGACACTTTCGTTTTTGGGATCGTATTTCTTGCGGGACAATAGCTTGGCACGCATTTCGGCTGCAGTCATATTCAATTGGAGACCACCCGCCTTGGCAGTGGAGGTTGGCGCCGGCGCCTGCGCCGCTGTTGAACTGCTGCCGCCACCCATGACACTGCCATTGCCCGATGAGGCACTGCCACCATTGGCTGTCTTTTGCACACTGGCCATGGTGGCCGAGGGTGGTGGCGGTATATTGTTATTGTTGTTGTTGTTGTGTACAACTTGATGGTCAGTGACATCGGAACCACCATTGGCATTTGTGGTCACGGCACTGTGTCCGGAACTGTGCGAGGTCTGCGAAGCCCTCTTGGTCGATACCATGGTAATGCTGTTGATGTTTTCACTTGCTCCCGGCATGACTTGTTCTGTTTTGCTAACCTCCACACTATTGTTGTTGTTGTTATGGCCATTCGTGTTGACCTCCCCACCCAGATACTGCTTGCCATCACCCTTGCCCTCAACATCGATCAAAAGCAATCTCACCTCACAGGAAATGGCCTTGATACGCTGCACCACCTGTTTGTGGGTCTCACTGTGTATCGGCGTGCCATTGACTTCGATGATGCGATCACCCTCCTTCAAGCCAGCTGCCTCGGCCGGCGAGTTGGCATCAACCTTGCCAATAAATTGTCCTGGCTTTGATTTTTCCGAGTGCAAATTAAAGCCATAGCCATCGAAATCGGGACGCTTAACAATGTGGCAGAGTTTCAAAGCTGCCTTATTAACTTCCGGACTAGAGGGGGTGCTGCTGGGCGTGGGTGAGCTGGGTTTGGAGGAATTGGACATTTTTAGTGTTTAGTGTGTTCACCGACCTGCAGTTGCAATTACTTTACGGGAATTTATTTAACTGAAATGAAATGAAAGCAAAGGAAATTCAAAATTAGTTTCCACTGAAATTCCGCAAGTATTGTATTCAAATGATGCCGAACACAATTTACAGCTATTTCCGGCGTTTTTCGTTTTCATTTTCCAAACAATTCGTTTGTTTAGATAATTGCAAGCTGTTTTTGTTTTGAGAATGTATTCAAATTTAATCAATTTAGAGCTGATTTCATACCCATTCCCTCTGCCTTAACTGCCAGATTTCAAACTAAGCTCTTTGGGAGCTTATTTCAAGTGTGGATTTAATTTTTTTTTTTTGTTTCAAGCCATTTCGTCATTAGCCAGCCCCATTCATTGTTCAAATGTGAAGTGATTAGAAACTGAAATATCCGTTTTTGATTTGTTCATATCTCAAATGCGTTGCGTTATCGTTCCAAACGAAACCTTAACCCACTTTGAGTTAAATTTTGAATTGCAACATTGAGTCATATAAAATAAAAAGAGGGAAATTGTTGTAAAACTAAAAAAAATTTGCATTCATCTGTTTTGCAGGAAAATAAAGCAGATTTCAGTGAAATTTTCAAAATTAACCATTTGGGAAATTTGTTATCCAGAAAGGGAAATTTTTGTTAATTAAAATTTTTCCAAAATTCTTGCATTTTTGGATTCCATGGGAAGCATAAAATCGATGGGCGTTAAAAACTCAAAATTTCCCATTTGGGAAATTTTTGCTTCATGAAGGGAAATTTTTGTATATGGGGATTTTTCGAAAATTCTTGCATATCTGGATTCTGTGCGAAAACTATAGTCGATTTGGGTGCAAAAATAAAAATTTCCCTTTTGGGAAATTGATTATCCAGAAAGGGAAATTTTTGTTAATGAAGATTTTTTTTTTCAAAAATTTTTGCATTTTTGGATTCGATGGAAAGCATAAAATTGATTGGTGTTAAAATCTCAAAATTTCCCATTTGGGAAATTTATGCTTTGCATAGGGAAATTTTTGTTTATGGGTATTTTTCGAAAATTCGTTCATATCCCATTTCGGAAATTTATTATCCAGAAAGGGAAATTTTTGTTAATGAAGATTTTTTTTCAAAATTTTTGCATTTTTGAATTCAATGGGAAGCATAAAATCGATTGGTGTTAAAAACTCAAAATTTCCCAGTTGGGAAATTTTTGTTTCATGAAGGGAAATTTTTGTCAATGAAGATTTTTCCAAAATTCTTGCATTTTTGGATTCATTGAGAAGCATGAAACCGATTGGCATTAAAAACTCACGAAGGGAAATTTTTGTTTATGGAATTTTTTTCGAAATTTTTGGCATTACTGGTTACTTTGGGGGAAATAAAATAGATTTTAGCGAAAACCTAAAAATTTCCCATTTGGAAAATTTATCATCCAGAAAGGGAAATTTTTGTTAAAGAAGATTTTTCCAAAATTTTTGATTATTTTGAATCCCATGGGAAGTATGAAATCTATTGGTGTTAAAAACTCAAAATTTCCCATTTGGGAAATTTTTGCTTCACCAAGGGAAATTTTTATTTATGGGTATTTTTTAAAAATTCTTTCATTTCTGGATTCTGTTGGAAAATTTTTGTCCAACGAAGGGACATTTTGTTAATGGATATTTTTTCGAAATTTTTCCATTTCTGGGTTCCGTTGTGAAAATAACGTAGAATTCAGGGAAAAAATAAAAAATTATTTTTCACGAAAGGAAATTTTTTTCGAAGATGGATTTTTTCTAAAATTCTTCCATTTTGGGATTCAACGAAAATAGTCAAATGACGAAGACAATTTTTTCAATCGGATTTTTTTTTTCAAAATTTTTACTATTTGTTGTGAGAGAAATATTTTGATATACCAAGAATTTTTTGAAAGTTATGGGAGATATAAGTAGTGAAAATTGTGACTCTTTGTGGGAGAGGTATCAGAAGTAATAGGCCGCTATCTAACTCCTTCACAACAGATCTTGAGTTAATTTTTTTTCCGAGTTTTATAATTGTTATAATTATTTATAATTTTGTCCCGTTAAGCGGTAGTAACGCAAGGGGTAGGCAGATGTATCCACACCAGATTTTGTGTTGATAAAAATATTGGGACTTGCCACAATTGAAGAGAATTGGATGTTTATTTCGCATTTTTATCAGCGTCAAGGTTATTTAAAATTTTCACCCGTTGTGGGGAAGGTACCAGAGGTAGTGATCCGTTCGCTCCCCTCTCCATACGAGATCTTGTGTTGGAAGAAATAAAGGGATGTGCGAAATTTGAAGACAAACAGTTTGTCATTTATAACCTTTTTGGTTATTCAAAGTTTCAACCCTTTGTGGGTGAGTTACTTAATGCAATTCGCCGAAATCGTTCATTTTCGCTCCTGTCACAGGACTGATAAAAATATTAGGATTTGCAAAATTTGCACAAAATTGGATGATCCAGGCTTGTTCTATGAGCCAAGTTATTATCTCTGAAAATGTGTTGCTTTTTGTGGGGGATGTACCAGAAGGAGTAGACCGATATTGCCCATCTTGGAACTCGATCTAAGTTTGATAATAATATTAAAATGTGCCAAGTTTGAACCAAATCGGTTACTGCCTTCGAGAGTTATCGTGAGCACCAGTGAGACAGACGGACACCCCGAGATCGATTTGAAATGCCCTGAAACGGATTTGGTCCAAAGACACCTAGGGGTTATTTCGATTAGGTACGTTTTTGGCTTATTAAATGATATATATCCTCTGCAGGCCGAAGGTATAAAATGCCTGAGGTTATAAAATGCCAAAACTTTTAGGGATTTTTAGTTATTTTTGGAAATTTTTCAAAATAAAATATTCCCCTTAAATCAAGTGCAAATTAAATGAGCAATTTACTGGAATTACTCCATGCCGAAAATTTAACAAATAAATTCAATAAAAACAACAAATTGTGAAAAAATTTTTCCAATTTTTTTTTGTTTAAAAATTCAATTAGCAATTGAATTTAACGCTTCATTGACTATTTGGCGATTATTTGTTTTAGAAAAACAAACTCGGTATTTATGGCTAGAGTAAATTTAATTTATTTCGCTTTTTTGACGCTTTTCTAAAAACATAAAATCATCAACACCCAGGCTAAATTCAATTTAATAGGTCAACATAAAACTGGTTTTGAAAAGAAAAAAAAATAAATAAATAAAAAATCAACAACAGCCATAATAAAATAATACAAATTTGTCAAAGTCAGCTTTGTTTTGCTGCCAGACTAGCATTCCGTACATTGCTGGTGCGGCTGATACTCCAAATATGGCTAATAATACCCGGCAACAAAGAAAGAGTTCAATGATCGATCTCTGCCTATTGAGACACACAATTAACGCCGGTGATAACTTGATTTGACATAAATTGGCAACAAGGAAATTGATTTCGAGTGGTGGTGGGACAGACGAAGAGAAAAGAAAGAAAAGACAAATAAATAAAAATAATTATTTAATAATTTTAAACTGTCTTAAGATTATTGTTTGCCAAAGACAAGTAGTTGCCCCGAGAAGAATAAAAAAATCAACAAAAGATAAAAATTAATTAATTTTTGGCTTTAAACTTCCCGCCAAACACGTGCATATCTTATCATGCCACAACAGCAGCAGGTGAGGTAGGGGGAGGGGACACAAATTACCGTTGTTGCCTTATTGGCATTTTCTTACTCCACAAAAATTACTAATTTTGTATTTATTCAGTCATTCTTTGCCATTCACTATTTCATTATTTGCCCCCCATTCCAACCGACTTCCCCACCCTGGCCCACATAAACAACTGTAAATATTTACTTAATGTTTACACAAAGATTATTTAATACTTCCTTTTGCTTTTGTTTTGGCCAAAGCCCTCCCTCCCCTTCGAGTAAATACGTTTACTTATTTCGGGGTTTACTTTCAAATGATTGGAATTTTATGCCAATGAAGTCACAATGTTTCCAATGAAAGGCGAAGGTATTTCGATTTTAAACCAAATTTTAAAATTATCACCTAATGCACATACACACACACAACCATAGATAAAATGCCATAATAAATTTTTTGAAAAAAATATATATTTTGTTTGTGCGGACATTCTAGAAAAGTTAGTTAAAATAACCAATGAGTGGAAAATAGTAATTCCAGTCGATGACGTAGCAGAGGTTAGTTAATTTTTTTTTTTTTTTTTTGTATGACTAAGTTCTTATGAAGAGATTTTTATAGACATTTTTATTGCCTTTGTTGTAAATAATGCAAAAATAATTCTCAAAAAGTTTCGAGAATTTATTGGAATTTTTTCCTATTGATATTTTAAAATATTAAAAACTGACACATTTGGGCGCCACTTGTTGGTTGGGGTCATATCATATCAGTAATTTTTCAAACATTAGTTCTGTTTTTTCTACGTTGAGTTGATTTGTGGAGAAATGTTTTCTACCGAATACATTAATATTTTAAGAAGCTATGACAACATTTGGGCGCCACTTGTTATTTAGAACCAACATCAGGGTTTTTTAAACAAATGGTATTTTTTCTTGGTCTAATCTGAAGACTGGTTTATTATAGAAGACCAGAAACTCTTGCTTTTCCAAAATAGTCTGAAGATATTATTTTTTCAAAAGAGGGACTGGAGACCTGAAATTATGAATATTTTAAAGATCTATTGAATAATTTGGGCGCTGAAACTCTTGTTTTTCCAAAATGGTCTGAAGAAATTATTTTGCGACACAAGACCTATACATCCATACTCTTAAAAGATTTCGTCAACTATAAGAGTTTTGAAGACCTTTCTTTATCGGCTAATCAAATAGCTGTCCTTTTAATAAAAATCTCAGTATCCTTCTTTCTCTGAAGAGCTTAATTTTTCTATAGGAGACCTAAAATTGTTTTTTTATTTTTTCAAAGAGTCTCTAAAACCTTCCTAATAAAAAGTTGGTATATCTTCTTTCCATATTTGACCTTAAGGCCATAGGAGATTTGGAGGTCCATATTTTTAATAGATAACATTATTATGAGGGGGAGGTGCCAGAACAATTTATCCG